CGTTATTTGAAACCTGCTGTTGTCGCTGAGGAGAAATGATCCATCCCCAGCAGAATTCAGTCTGCCAGCAGAGTCCCATTGCACAATAATATATTGGCAATGTCTCTTTTTCTCCTTTTCTTTTGACTACTTCTAGAAAATATTGCACATTATTTTGTCCCATCCTTGCTCTTCAGATCCTCTGCAAATTTAGCTGATTTCTGCTTCCTCTTTTATGCCAAATCATCTTTCTAACTTCTAGACACTGAAGTCCACGTGCTGCCCTCCTACAGCCGGGTATGAAGATCGTCCAAATGACTCACACATAATAGAACATATTCAATAGCATACAGTTGTCCTAAAGCAGCGTATCAAGGCCATCACTTCAGGAACTCTCAGTATTTTCTTGGGGACGTGCAAATGCCAAAAAGGTTTTCCGTTCTTTAAAGGTATCTCACAACTTTTCTGAATTCAGCTGCAATATAAGTAAACAATATTTAATTTCCAGTACCCCAGCTAAATGTCAGTGTCTCATACACTTTGAGTTCAACTCAGATGAAGCAGAAGTCAGGGAACTCTCCAAACTGTGTTTACTCACTCGCTAATTATTGACGTGGCCTTCACATCCCCTGGCCAAGTCACCAGCTGATTTCCCTCTCCAGAAAATTACAGAACAGCATAGCTTAAATTAAGGTACCTAAAAGATCTGCTATTTCCAGAGACAGCCTTTCCAGGCTGCTCCAGGAGTGAGTTTTAGCAGCTTATAACCCTTTTGATTATACGCCTTGTGGGTGATCGCAGACAAACAGTTAAAATCCATTAGAAACAGCTGGTGTGCCATGAGTAAGGCAGGAATAATTCCTCTTTGAAGATCTTTTTTCAGGTTTTCATGTTGTGAGCTGCAGACAGATACACAGCCATATCCCATGTCCAAACAACCGCCAGCAGCTCACAGCCCTTTTTCCCTGCTCCCCTGCACAATGACATCCTGTAAGTGTAAAAGATCAGAGGTCTCGGGCCCCATAAACCCCAAAATTATGCCCCTCTCCAAGGCCATCTCATCCTTTTAAATTCTGATCCAATGCATGCTCTGGGTGCGGTGCATGCTCCGAGGTGCTCTTTCAGCATGTTGTTACAGCATGCTCCCTCGCTGGCTCTTATCTTCGTCATTAATCCTTTCGACTGACTCATTCACCCTTTCCTTCTCTTGCGCTGCTTTTCTTCTGCTTGACTGATTCTTTACTCACAGCTGAAAGGCCACTCAGGATACCGATCCGGGTTCAAATAGCTCTTCCTGAAGTTGCCTGAGCATAATATTCTCTTGGTCCCCCAAAGTACATGCCCAGACTGTGCCCCCAGGCCCCCATCTGCTCCCTCTTGCCTGAGGCAGTACCTACTGCAGCAGGAAAAGCAGAGGTGGCTCTGCTGGAGTACTAGATGCCATGTGATTATTCACACAGTGCAGCAACTCCCAATTACTCCATCCCTAGCATTAATTACCCTGGGGTCCCATTTCTCCTTCCAGTTCCCAGAAGCTTCTCTTGTTTCTGAAGTTGGATGTCTTGCCCCAGACCTAATGCGTTTGCCTGCATTTTCAGTTGCACAGACTAAAACGAGGAGTCAGAGTAAAAATTCTGGCACCTCCAAAGTCCCAACTGTCCAGCCTTGGCAGCCACGATTCCTGCAAAGCCAGCCCTGCCTGCTGATTTTCCACCTTCAGTTGCTCTTTCCTCTCCTTTTCATTCTATTTCTTCTAAGTCACAACATCAATACTAAGTCATGAAGCTTCCTTCTTCCCCCTTCCCTCACCTCAGTCACTCTGTTCTTCCCCCAGTGCTAACAAGACCGTGTCATGTAATGTTTGGTCTCCTGGAGTTTCTTGAAAACCCCTGATTTTTAGGTCTGAGGAGCAAGAGCTTTGTATGAATTAAGTGCTTCCTCATTGTGCCATGCCTGGCACTGGCTATAAACTAAATCACTTCTCCCACACACACCATTAGCAGTAATGAAATCCAGGCTGGCCTGCCTCCTTAGCATGACATCCATATCCAAATGCATTTCCTCCGCTCAAAGGATCTGCAGATCCAACGCATGGCTGCATGGGATGCCTCCAGCAGCCTCTCTCAGGTCACAACTGGAATATATTTGGGGACTACTATTTACCAGGAAGAGTTTTATGATACCTTTAAATCCATCATTCTGCACCCTAATTCCATCATGAACTTTAATAAGGACCTGCAGCACTTTGGGATAATGAAAAGGGCAAAGCGAAAGATCCCTTTCATGTCTACTTTGATTGTGAAAGAAAGTAGTCACAGGCTAATTGAAGGTTGAAATAAAGAGAAGGCTACTAAGCCATCCTAATCCCTTGCCAGTCCTAAATTAGAAAAATCCCACGTCATGTAACAGCTGAGTAAAAGCTGTATTTACTTCTCTACGATTTGCAGAACTGAGTCAAAAAAACACCAAACACTATCCAGGTGTTCCAACAGTAAATGTGGATGGTTAGATCATGCATTTCAGGAGAGTCTATCTAGGGCAATGCTTCCACTGGGAAGAGCTTCCCAGCACCCTCATCTCCTCCACCTCTGTGGGGCTGAATGCAGGACACCCCCCTTGGCAGTCCCTTGGGAAACAAGGACTGGAAACAAGCACCTCGGATCATTCCTTATTGTCACTGCTCCTCAAATACACTCACTCACAACAGGCATTTGTTGCTGCAAAATCAGCACTGGGGTCCCCTTTTGTGGCACCAAGGACCTTGGGGTCAAGAAAAACAAAGGGTCACACTTCGGCTTCTGTGACGTTCCTCCTTGCTTTGCAGTTGACTCTCAGCCTTTGTAAGGCCCTGAATGGAGACTCTTCACATGAATGGAGCTCCTACCACACAGATTTCAATGCAGCTCCACTCCTTTCTGCACTTGTCATAAACGGGGCA